TTTTTTTTTTTTTTTTTTAATTTTAATTTTTTTCCCATACTGGGGATCGAACTTGGGATCTTGTACTTGCAAGGCAGGTGTTGGAAACACTGAGCTAAATCCCTGGCCTATAAATTTTCTTTGAGTATTTTAAAAAGTACTCTGACTTAGCGTGTAGTGATATGTAGCAAAGTGGATTTGTTTTTTGCTTTCTTCTCTGAAATAGATGAACTAGCTTGCATTTCCTGTTATTTTGTACTTTGGGTATTCTAGAAAAAACCTTCACATTTATACCCAATGGCTCAATCAAAATCTGAAGATGAAAGAAGGCACGTACATCTTTAAATTTACCCCCTCTGGTTTCTCTAATCATTTGATTTAAATTTGTTTCATTACAGTTATTTTTAAATAGAAGGAAGGAAAGAAATGTCCATAACCTTTTCTTGCAAACTCTCATATTATTTCCATGACTAAAACGAACTTAAAATTCTGTTGGATGTTATATGCTGTATAATCTTAGGAAAAAATGAGAATTATTTTCCGTTTATGTGAATAGGTGCTAAGTCTCGGGTTGCAAGCAAGACTTTAACTTTGTGAGCTGGTGGCCCTGGAGAGGAAGAACACAGATCATTCTATATTATCTCTCTCATTATGCGAGACGGAGAAGACTGTGCTACAGCATATCAAAATTCATGAGAGGCTGGGCCTACAGTGAAATATGGAGAGCCTCTGTCACGAATATTTGAGAATTACCATAATTTATCGATCACAGTTTTAATATACTCTCCCTTCTGTAGTCATAATTCTTATATTATAAAATATTAGAGTCAGAAATCAGGCAAGTTTAGGATTTTGAAATAAGAGCAAGTAAAAATGCTATGTTCAAGGTTCTGACTAATTTCTTTGAAAATATGCAAATTAAAAAGAGGCAAAGAAAACGATCTGCCTATAAAAGTGGTGAATATGTGTGAGCTGTGAAATTTATGCAGATCGTATGCAATAAAGTAGGTGAAATGGGTATAATAGACTAAAGTAGATGTGATCCTTTTCTTTCCTATATTCATAACTCTACTTTTTTCTTCTAAGTTAGGCCGTTGTCCAATTTTTTCTTGTCTTATCAACTCTTACGTTGGCGGGGTGAGCATTTCTATAGAACAAAGCTCACCAGGGGCACATTTCTCTACAAGGAAGCCTGTGTTTGCTCCCTGGTTTATTAATCCTCATAGCACCAAGCACTATTTTGTGCACACCAAACTCTCGAGTAAATGTTAGGAGCTTACTAAATGTTACCTGAGAGCTAATGTTCTCTGAATAGCTCACCTGAGGGAGAGGGATAAATTCTCTTAGAACTTGATTTTTCTGAAGCTGCCAGTATGCTTTTTGCCAGGTTTTTGTAGCTGAAAGAAATTAGCCCTCGCAAGCATTCATCTAAGATAACCAGGCTGAAAAAGAACTGAGTATTTTTTTTACCCTTACTTTCTGGAACACAGTGTTATTATTCATTGTGGGAATAAATTCAAACCATTTTTATGGTTTCTGCTTTTGGGAGTCACTGTTTATCTTTTATTCAACGTTTTCCTTCCTTGAAAATGTACATGTTTGTACATTTTAAGATGCCACTTCTGTTTCTTTGTGATGACTGGCGTTAGAATTTACAAATGGTGGCAGCCTCAACACCGTCGGCTCCAACTGACCTTGGGGGGGCATGGCCGGCCTCTCCCCTGTGCCAGACACTGGGGTCGCACTCGGAAATGCATCCTCTTTGGCTCTCTTGTGACACAGCTGGCACTTAGGTCCAACTCCTCCCCATTTCTAATAGAGAAACCAGTGCTGTTGCTCATGAGTGACTGAGCTGAAATTCAAGTCAGTTCTTACTCCAGAGTTTATGCCTTTTCGATTTGGGCATGAGACATTCCTCTCTTCTAAATGATGGCTGGTTAGTATATTCCCAAGAAGAGTAGCATGAGTGGTGATTAAATAGGGCCAAAGGAGACAAGAATGAGGACCACCAAAATGTTAGTAGTTGCTACCATACTTACATCAACAATACTTCTGGGAATGGGTGTTGCTTAATTGATTTTTTTTTAACGTGATCAAAAGGAATAAGTAATTTCACAAACCTATCGCTCTGCTCCATTTTGAGTTAGACCTGTGTGGCTTTTTTTTTGGGAACTTAATCTGTGACTTGGCATATGTGGGAAAATGCATTCCTGATTTCTAAATAATCAGTTTAAAAAGTGAAGTCTCGAACCCAACCCATTTGTAAATTGGTTGTATTTCATTGTAGGTTGTGTTCAGAAAAAATTTCTGTTTTCCCCCATTTATTTCAACTACAAGTCCAATGAACTGTAAATAGGTGGGATAGAATAAAAATGGCTTCATCCCGTGTTCTGTGGGGTTCATTAACATAGATTTCTTTTCTCCAACGCTAGGTGTTAACATGTATCACCACTTCTGTGATTTTATCAACCTTTATATCACCCAGCATGTTAATAATTCATTCGGTACAGATGTGAACATCGTGATGTGGGACACCGTAAGTAAGCCAGTGCTCTCTGCTCCAGCACCATTTCAGCTCGCTCTGCCCTTGTGTACCTGGGAGCTGGTGAAGCAGGACTGTTGATGACGACTCACATTTAAACATATCCACACACCCGCACCTGAGGATGAATGCGACACACAAAAATTCGACATTTTTGAAATTTAGAGTGAGGCAGTAGGAGATTTCTCTCCCCTCTTATTTGAGGGGCTTCCCCAGAGTTGCATGGTGTTTGCCTCAGTGCTCCTCCAGGGTGGGACATGTGACGCCTGTCCCTCTCTCACCGCTGAAGTTGGAAGAGTTTCTGTTCAGTTTGACCTCTTGAAGTTACTGTGCTGTACTTTCTCTCTGTCCCCTCGCCTCCCCCAGCTCCCCACCACTGAGCTCCAGTCCCTCCCCTACCTTTGCATAATAATAGCGTTCTCATCTTTATCTGGTCAGGGCACCTTGGCTGTGAGTCTCCCCCGACTCTGCAGGGTAAGTCTTAGACACTGACCTACACGACATGAACGTTTGTTAGATTATGCCTGCTGTGTATGTGTTTTTAGGAGTCTTCCCCACTTCTCCTTCTTTACCTGCCTTTCTCCTGCTTCTTCCACACCTGGCCCTCCCACCTGGCCAGGTGGCCCCCCGGGTGGGACCTAGTACCCTTGATTGTAAGATGGAATAGAACAGGTCCCTCAGTGTCATCTGGAGACCGAGCCAGAGTGAGCAGTCACAGCTTTCTCTGAGTGTTAGCTGTGGACGACAGTGATAGTATGAGCGGTGGAGGTTACCCACACCGGGAGCGGGAACCCGAACGTGGGTCCTCTAAGATTCAACTGAATAGTCTGATGCAAGGTACAGTCAGTTCAGGGTGATATTCATGGGATGGTGAGGTGAGACCTCCGAGCAGCATTGAGTCTCTCTTGGGGGTGGGGGTGTCCACTGCCCAGCCCAGGTGTAATGGGACAAGGTAGATTGCCCTCGGGGCCTTGTGCTTGTGAGGCAGGTGCCGGCACCACTGAGCTAAATCCCTGGCCCTGATCTCTGTCTTTAGCTGATGGAATTTATAATTAACTTTCGCTTTTCACAAAAGGAAAATGCACTTGGTAAATACACTGGAAGAAGGAGCTCTTGCTGAGAGGCACCTGTCACATGGGGTTTATGTGTGAACTCTGAAATCACAGATTAATCCAGTCCTGTAATCCACAGCTCCCCGATCTAGGCACATTACTTCAATTTGTGTCCCAGTTTCCTGGTCTATAAAGTAGGGATAATGATCTCACCTAGTTCCTAGGTGTGTGTGGGGCGCTTAATGAGTTAATGGCATTAAGGGCTTAGCACAATTCCTGGGACATAGGAAGAGGGCAAGGTGCTGCTATTGCCGTTATATAATATCGTCGTTACAGTAATGTCATTAACCTTAAGGCTATCAAGGACCTTTCAGAAGTTATTCTGGAGTCGGTGGGAAGGACATTTCATAGTTACAAACATTATACTTTCAGCGTTAAACTCTTCAAACCATTTTCTTGCTTTGAAATCCCTTTCCCGAGACAACTCATCTGCCCTGCTGTTTTCTGCTCACGAGTGTGTCAGCCTGTGTACAGACGGTGGTGCACGTGTGTGCTGTGTGTATCTGTGATGTGCATGGAAACATCATGGAAAGACCCCATGACTACATGAGAATGAAAGGGGTTAGGGTGGGAAAATGAAACCGTGTTAACATGCTAAGAAAATGATTGCGGTGATTGTTCCCGAGTGTATTTTATCACATTAGGCCTTGGCTCAGGCTGCAGAGGAGGATCCATTTGTCTCGTATGGTTGTTAAGTCCTTAGGACCCTAATATAATTTAACACTGATAAGCAAATCCCATTTCTGTGGTGGTTGTGTCCTTTTGCCCTAATTTGCTTTGTTTCCACCTCCAGAGCTCCTATGGATATGGGGACCTGTTCTCCGACACGTGGAAAGCGTTTACTGACTATGACGTTATACACTTGAAAACTTACGATTCCAAAAGGGTACTGGAAACTTTACTGAAATGTCTGCAAATAACTCACATACAGATGAATTACTTCTAGAATAAGTGTTTAATTTGAGTTTCTGTTAGCTGTTACCTTTGACGTCTGACTTCTTGGTTTCTTTTGGTACAGCTGGAATCCTCATTGTTACGAACCGTGTAGCTTTTGAGAATGGTTTTCTATAACTTTTCAAAAACTATCCATTTTATTCTTCTTGAAATCCTGTGCTACTGAAATGATTTCAATGAAAAATGGAGATTAATTAGAACTCATTTTCCAAGATTATAAGTGCTGTTTTAGTGTGAAGGGTGCAAATGATATTTTCTCATCCTTTAAAATATTTTCATGTTAGGTATGTTTCAAAGAAGCTATCTTTTCATTGCTGCCCCGCATGAGGTATGGGCTGTTCTACAACACTCCTCTGGTAAGCGTTTTATGATGACATATTCATGTGTAGCTTGAGAGCATCTTACATGGCAATACAGAAATGTTGATAGTGACAGGAACTGGTGTTTTCATTTTAGATATCTGGCTGTCAAAATACCGGGTTATTCAGGGCCTTCTCCCAGCACGTGCTGCACAGACTAAACATCACACAGGAAGGACCCAAGGTAACGGATACATTGTGCATTCCAAGGTGTGCTGGGGTGTTTTTGGTTTTTCTTTCTTTTTTTTTCCCCCCTAATCAAAATTAATACTATGCTGGTGGAAGAGGGAGTAATCGGGATGCAGTGTTTTCTGTGCTACTATTTTCTGACCTAGAATTATCTGAATTCAGGTGTCAGCAACCATTAAAGATAAAAGATATCGAAAGAATGTGGTTATTCTTTTTCCCTTTATTTGGCTGTTATTTCCTCGCCTTCTTCCAAATGCCATTCCAGCCCACAAAATCCCTGCTACAAAATCCACTCTAGGAACCAACAGCCAAGCAGCATTATAATGAATAGATTTTCTCTTCCATGGGCTAAAGTACATACCTTGATTTTTATTTTTAATCAGCATATAATTGTACATATTTAATCTGTCAAGTCTAATATTTTGATACAGGATACAACGTGTAATGATCAAAGCAGATATTTAACCCACCTGCCATCCTGAACATTTATCATGTCTCTCTGTTGGGAGCATTTGAAATCCTTTCTTCTAGTGATTTTGAAATAGACAATAAATTCTTGCTAAATATAGTCACCCTATTGTCTTAGTTACTTTCTTCATTGCTGAGACAAAATACCCAAAGTCAGGGGAGGAAAGGCTTATTCAGCTCACATTTTGGAGCGGTTTCAGTCTATAATCAGCTGGCTCCAGGGAGGGAGGCACATGCTGGAGGGGCATCGCAGAGGAGAGACAGATTGGATTGAGCAGAAGATAGCACAAGTAAGCAAGCGACCAGGGGCAACAGTGGCAGCTGCTTTCTGCCCCTTGTGTATTCTGTCTAGGCTACCTGGGTGCCATACCAATCTATGGGCTGATTTGGTAATCACACACCCTTCATCTCAGCCCACACTGCGGATTCCGCTCCCTCTGACAAAACCCCATTTTGAGATTGCCTGAGGCTTTGTGGGGACATCTAGGTACAGATGGTCACAGCCCACTGTTAGGACAATAGAACTAGAATCTTACCCTTCTGTTGCAACTATATTTCCAAAGCCGTTAACCCCTTTCTGTCTTCCTCTTTCCCCACGATTCCCTCTGGTAGCCGCTACCGTACTTTACTGTCTACTTCTAGGAGATCAACTTTTTAGCTTTCCCAGAGGAGTTAGAACATGTGGCATTTATCTTTCTGTGCCTGACTTCACTAAACAAAGTATGAGTTTCGTTTATGGGTGGCCTCCCATGATCTAAATTCCACCTCCTCTCCTTCTCCTCCTCCTCCTCCAGGAGGTTAACTGGATGTGGCTTCTCCGACCATGCCTGGCTTGGCCAATCCATGTAATCACAAATGATAGGATTTTATTCTCCTTTTATAGCTGAGTAATATTCCATTGTGTATATGTACCACATTTTCTTTTAAAGTGGAAATATTTGTAATCTCAGAGAATGGTGAGGGAATGGGCTAAAAATTAATCATTCCATAAGTATAATCTTTTTGACTCATCTCTTTGTGAAGATCGCATTTGAGGTTCAGATGTCCGTTCATTCATTGGTCCAAATTCATCCAGTGTTATTTGCCTTTTCTTTTTAATTACAGGATGGAAAAATTCGAGTCACCATTCTTGCCCGGAGCACAGAATACAGAAAAATACTAAACCAAAATGAGGTTAGTTTTTTGACATATGTTTTTAATATCATTGTATTGAATTTACCTCTCATGACAAATGTGCTTCATTTTCCGCTGTTATATTAAAAGCTTTTCTTTGAAACAATTACTCATTTGGAAAGCTTGGTGGCCTGTGCCCAGTTCAGTTATTGGATCAGTGGTCATTCCCAGGTTCAGTCCCCAGCACCCCCCACCCCGCAGAAAAGTACATTGAGCTCTGGACACGAGCCAGGCTTCACTCTTGGCTTTGGACACAGGAAAGACAGGGAAGGTCCCCGCCCTCGTCAAGTTCTCTCTAGAGGTGAGAGACAGGCATGAACAAATGAGCAAGTAAGTCGGACACCAGGTGGTGACAAGCACCAGGAAGGGAGTAACCGAGGGCAACGTGACAGAGACTGGGGATGCTGTGAGGGGGGGAGGAGGGCAGCAGGTGTCTGAAGAGGCATTGCCTGGTGGGAGAACTCATCAGTGAGGACCCCAGCAGCAATGAGCCTTGCGTGAGAGTGGAGAACGCGAGGATGCAGTGGCATCTCTGGAGGGAGGGGGCGGTGGTATCAGAAGAGCTCAGAGAAGCCAGGCCTGGTGGGGGAGGCCATATCTTGTGGGTTGTGTGGTCTGTGGTGAGAAGATAGATTTTAATTCAGTGTAGAGAGAAGTGACCCTGAAGGATTTTTTTTTCAGCTTTAATTGAGTTTATTGGTACATTTTAGGGATACAGTACAGTTACATTCATTGTTGGGATCTTGTACCTCTACATGACAGGTCTTGGTTCTCATTTTTTCCCCTTGTCCCTGCCCTCTCTTCACCCCCTCCTCCCCTCCCCATCTACAACCGCTTTATTTCCATCTTTTCATTATCTCACATTTTTTTCTTTTCCCTTTTTACCCTTCCCCTGCCCATCACACCGTCCCTACTCCTTTAGCTCCTTTCTTCCCATTTCTCAATGTCAGTAATCTTATTAGTATCTTCTGTATTATTGCAGATTATTGACACCAGAAAAACTATTCGGTATTTACACATGTGTGCCTTATTTATTTCACTTAGTATATCTTCAGTATGTATCCATTTTCCTATGAATGAATCTATTTTCTCATTCTTTATGACTGAGTAATATTCCATTTTATAGAAAAAACATATCTTCTTTATCCAGTTTCCAACGGATGGGCAAATGGGCTGTTTCCAAGTTTTAGCTATTACAAACTGTGCCGCTATAAACATGGGTGCACATACTTCTCTGTGATATGATTCTTTTAGTTCTTTTGGAAAGATACCCAGAAGAAGGGTGGCTGGTCAAATGGAACCTCCAGTCCAAGCTCTTTGAGGTATCTCCATATTGATTTCCATAGTGGTTGCACCAGTCTGCACTCCCACCAACAATGGAGAAGGGTTCCTTTCTCCCCACAACCCCACCAACATTTGTTATTGGTTGATTTCTTGATAGCAGCCATTCTTTGTGGGGTGAGGTGGAATCTCAGTGTTTTCATCTGCATCTCTCGAATGATCAGTGATGTGGAACATTTTTTCATATATTTACTTGCTGCTTTTACTTCTTTGTCTGAGAAAAGTCTGTTCATTTCAGATGCCCATTTTTGAATCGGGTCTTTATATTTGGGGGGGGCTGATTGTTTTGAGTTCTTTATATATTCTTGATAATAGTCCTTTGTCTGAGGAACAGCTGGTGAAAATTTTTTCCCACATTGTGGATTGTCTCCTAGTTCTGCTAATGGTTTCTTTTGAAGTACAGAAGCTTTTTAGTAAGATGAGATCCCAGTTGTTGATTCTTTCTGCTAGTTCCCGTGCTACTGAGGATTTGTTCATAAAGTCTTTTCCTATACCAATGTCTTCCAGAGTTCTACCTAACTTACTTTCCAGCAAGTTTAATGTTTCTGTTTTAATATTTAGATCTTTAATCCATTTGGATTTTAATTTAGTGCATGGCGAAAGATAAGGGTCTAATTTTAATCTGTGGCAGGTTGATATCCAGTTTTTCCAACACCATTTATTAAAGAGGCTATCTTTCCTCCACTGAGGATGGTGAGCTCCTTTGTCAAAGATGAGGTAGCTGAGTACATCTGCATTTGTTTTTGTGTCTTCCAGTCTGTTCCATTGATCCTCAGGCCTATTTCTTTGCCAGTACCATGCTGATTTTATCACAGTGGCTTTGTAGTATAGTTTCAAATTGGGAATTGTTACACCTGGTGCCATGTGACTGTTGCCTATAATGGCTTTTGCTATTCTAGGTCTCTTGTGGTTCCAAATGAATTTTTGGATTCTTTTTTCTAGTTCTGTGAAATATAGTGTTGGAATTTCAATTGGCATTGCATTGAATGTATATAGCAGTTTCGGTAGTATGGCCATTTTCACTATGTTGATTCTTCCTACCCAGGAGCAGGGGATATCTTTCCATTTTTTTATATCCTCTTCGATTTCTTTTTTCAGAGTGCTGTAGTTTTCAGTGTAGAGATCTTTTGTTTCTTTTGTTAGATTGATTCCTAGATACTTCATTTTTTTGGATGCTATTGTAAAAGGAATTTTTTCCCTTATTTCTCTCTCAGTGAGTCTGCTATTTGTGTATAAGGAGGCTATTGATTTTTAGGTGTTCACCTTGTATTCAGATACTCTACTGAATCTGTCAACTAAGTCTAGAAGTCTTTTGGTGGAGTTTTTTGGGTCTTCAATGTAGAGTATCATATCATCAGCAAATAATGACAATTTAACTTCTTCCTTTCTTATCATTGTTGCTTTTATTTCTTTCTCTCATATAATTGCTGTGGCTAATGTTTCCAAAACTATATTGAACAGAAGTGGTGATAGTGGATATCCTTGTCTTGTTCCTGATTTTAACACGAAGGTTTTCAGTTTTTGGCCATTTAATACGATGTTGGCTGTTGGTTTTTCATAGATAACCTTTATTAAATTGAGGTATAGACCATCTATTCCAATTTTTTGCAGGGTTTTTATCATGAATGGGTGTTGAATTTTATCAAATGCTTTTTCTGCATCTATTGAGAGGATCATATGGTTTTTGTCCTTGACTTTGTTAATATAATGTATTACATTCACTGACTTTCGTATGTAGAACCACCCTTGCATCTCTGGAATAAATCCGACTTGGTCATGATGGATGATCTTCTTAATAATCCTCTGTATTCTGTTTGCTAGTATCTTATTAAGGATTTTTGCATCTATATTCATTAAGGATTGTGGTCTGTAGTTCTCCTTTTTAGTTGCATCTTTCCCTGGTTTGGGAATCAAAGTGATACTTGCTTCCAGGAATGAATTTGGAAGTATAGCTTCCCTTTCAATTTCATTGAAAAGTGTGAAGAATAATGGCAGTAGTTCTTCTCTAAAGGTCTTGTAAAATTCAGCAGTGAATCCATCAGGGCCCGGGCTTTTCTTTGTTGGTAAATTTTTAATTACATTTTCAATATCACTGGCTGTAATTGGGGTGTTTAAAATGTTTTTATCTTCTTTGTTCAACTTTGGTAATTCGTATGTATCTAAAAATCTGTCCATTTCTTCTGTGTTTTCCATTTTATTGGAGTACAGGTTCTCAAAGTAGGTATTGATGATCTGGATTTCTTTTGGATCTGTTGTGACTTCGCCTTTTTCATTCCTGATTGCATGGATCTGAGCCTTTTCTTTCCTTTTTTTGATAAGATTAGCTAAGGGTTTGTCAATTTTATTTATTCTTTCAAAAAACCAACTCTTTGTTTCATTTATTTTTTGTATTGTTTTCTTAGTTTCCATTGCATTGATTTCTGCTCTAATCTTTATAATTTCCTCTCTTGTTCGAGCTTTGGGATTTTCTTGCTCTTGATTTTCTAGGAGTGTACGATTCATTATTAGGTTATTTGAGCTTGCTCTATTTTCCTAGTGTGGGCATTCAGTGCTATGCATTTTCAATGTAGAACTGCTTTCATTGTGTTCCCTAGATTCCTTTATGTTGTATTGGCATTTTCATTTATTTGTAAAAACTCTCTAATTTCTTCTGTAATCCATTGATTGTTCAGGAGAGTGTTGTTCAGTTTCTATGTGCTTGTGAAGCTTGTACAGTTTCTTGTGCTGTTGATTTCCAGCTTGATTGCACTATGATCTGATAATATATAGGGGATGACTTAAATTCTTTTGCATTTATTTAGACCTGTTCTGTGAGCCAATATGTGGTCTATCTTGGAGAATGATCCATGTGCAGCCAAAAAGAATGTATATTCTGATTTTGTGGGGTGGAATACTCTATAAACATCTATTAAGTCCATGTGTTCCAAAGCTTGGTTCAGTTCTATTATTTCATTGTTGACTTTCTGCCTAGATGATCTGTCAATTTGTGATAGTGTGGTATTTAAATCCCCCACTACAATAGTATTAGTGCTTATTTAGTTTTTCATGTTACTTAATATTTGTTTTATATAGTTGGGGGCATTTATATTTGGTGCATGTATGTTTATGATTGTCAACTCTTCCTCTTGAATTGTTCCCTTTACAAGGATGTAGTGTCCTTCTTTGTCTCTCTTAATGAGTTTTGGTTTGAAATTTACTTTGTCTGAGAATAAGATTACTACCCCTGCTTTTTTCTGGTCTCCGGACACATGGAGAATTGTTTTCCATCCTTTCACTTTCAGTCTGTGGGCTTCCTTTTGCACTAGGTGTGTTTCTTGTATACAACATATTGTTGGATTTTGCTTCTTAATCCATTCTGCCAGTCTATTTCTCTTGATTGGTGAATTGAGGCCAGTAACATTGATGGTCATAACTGATATGTTCTGACTTATTATTGTCATGTTATTGTCCTTTTGTTGACTCTTTTTACTTTTTCTCCCCTCTCCTTTTAGTTTCTTGCCTTGCCTATTTAATTTGGTCTGTTGGGCCTCATGGTATTGTGACCTTCATTGTTCTTTTGTAGGATATTGTTTAGAATTCCTTGTAGTGCTGGTTTGGTGTTCATGAAATTTCTCAGGTGTTCTTTGTCGTGGAAGTATCTTATTTCCCCATCTATTTTG